TTTTTTTTTTTTTTTCCCTGTCAAATGAGGAAACTGCACTGGGACAGATTTTTGAAGGCTTTTAGGGACCTATCAATATATTTTAGCACCTGATGGGTTCAGCAGTGCCCCTGTTGTTAGTTTTTAACAGCTTTTATTAATGTCTTTAAAAATCTAGCCCTGAGCAACCTCCAGAAAGTTAGTTGACTTTGTAATTGCTCCTTGTTGTGGTCCTGATTCTGTACCTCTTCTTTGCACTGAGCTCCCTACCTGTAAAGAAGCCATCAGGAGGCTGACCTTTGTGCTCTGTGAGGGAGACAGGCAGAATCAGGCCATGTTTAGTGATACTTGAATGTTTATAGCTCATTTGTAGTTAGACAGTGCTCATTCTTGCTTGCTCATGCCAGCTATAGGTCTTGCAGAGAACTCCACAACAAACACCTCTATGAAACTGTCTATCCAAATTTAATTTTGAATGTAAATTCAAGTTGCTGGGAGTTTTTTTTAATTTTCTTTTTCCATTTCTGTATTTTCAAGTATATTCAAATGCAGGAAACTTTACTATGTTTCACTCCTACTGTAGCTTAATGGTGTCCTGCACTGATGTCCAGTCAAACAATATGTTGAAGTTTCTTGGATGTTTCACAGTTATTTCTTGATTCTTTTTTCCTCAGTCATTTAAGAGCGCACATGTGAGGTAGAACTGCAGGACTGAGCCGTAACAGAATTTATATCGTAGCAACAAACACTTACAAACTCCTTCTCAAAATCTTCCATTTGAGCTGGTGAAACCAGATACTGTAATCCCTTTCATTTTCCTGTTTTGTGAGCATTAAAATTGGGGTCTCCTGTTCTGTGCAAAGAGACTGTCTGTCTGCACAGAACATTTGTTCTCTCTTTACATATAAAATTAAAGCCTTTCACTTAAACATGCAATGTTAAGAAAGAAAATTATTTGGTACTTCCCTTCCTGGGTAGCTAATGCGCCTGATGTTTTAGAAACAGAGTTATAAATATCTTTTGACTGTAGAAGCTAGCCAGCCAAAGTGATTACAATGATAATAAAAAATCCAGTTATTTGTATGAACCTCCTGGCACAGTTCTCAGCTTGTCAGCTGGATGGTGGCCGTGAAACCAGAGCGAAGCCTCCAAAGGGCCCCAGGACATCACCGCTGCTGGACCAGTGACACAGCCTGCCACAGAGATCATGAAGCATCACTGAAAGCATAAAGCACTGACTTTACCATGGGCTGCCTGGTGCAGGCACCCCTGTGCCCTGACACTTGTGACGAAGAACAGCATCTCTGTTGGTCTGAAGCACCAGCAGGAACAGAGTTAAGCAACAAAATGAACAAAAGATCAAGTCACCAGAGCAGGCATGTTCTCCACATATTGCTACAGGCCCTCAAGTATGAAAGATCTGGATTATGAACTGGGGTAGCAGTTGGGAACTGTCCTAGAATCAAAAAGTTTCCAGAGCAATAGGCAGCTCTATCAGTCCCACAGTGCGAGCTGGCTGAAACCATTCTAAAAAAAAAAACAGTTCCAAAAAACAAACAGAAAAGTGGCGAAAGGAACAAAACAGAACATGGAAGAATTTAAACTTTTTTTTTTTTAACCAAAGAAAACTGTGCCTTGGGAAGGTTTTTAAAGGACTCAGTGCATATATAAGAGACTTGGATGAATATAACCTGCTTACATTTCCATAAGATGTTTGAGAAGGTCTTTAGTTAAAGCTTCTTAAGGAAATGAAATCACAATTGAGATGAGATGAGATGAAGAGTCCATTGAGGTTAATTAACTGGTTAAAAGACAGTGAAAAGTGGTCAGATTTCATACTGAAAGTCACTCATGGAGTGCTACAAGTACCCTTGCTCTTCAGTATTTTCTGTAATTGTTGTGAAAAAGGGTGGCCAAGTTGAAGGAGAATCATAAGTAAATGTAGCACAAAAAAAAAAGGGATAAAAAGACAAAATTTAGTACTGATACATTTACAATATTACTTGTGGAAAAAAGCAATCCCAGCCTTATGTGCGTCACACTGTCTAAGCATCTCAAAAATGGGATCTTATTTGTAATACTTTAATGGCAATATTATCGAGGGCAGAAGGGCAATTCAGTACTAGGAGTCAATAAGAATTAACACAGCAAAACAAAAAAACACTCAGTACCATTACAAAAATGTCTGAGGCACCTGCATCTTGAATGCAGCACGAGTCAAATCCCCAACCCCATCCAGACAGCAGCACAGGATCAGGACAGAATGAACAAGAAAGGGAATCAGTGTTGTAGAAGAGTTTCCATATGAGGTATGATTTCCTTGGATTATAGCTTGGAAAAAATAGAAAGGAAAATTGAAAACAGATAGGATAGTGGTTTTGTAAAGGGGAGAGTTGAGTGGAGAAGGCAACAGTTTGTCCTTTTGGCAGAGGCAATGAGCTGGGGGAGCATTGCATGAAAGCCCAGCACAGGAATTAGCTCTTCATGAGTCAGACAACCACCTCTGTGACTCCTGGGGTGAGAGGGCTGAGGATACTCCAGGTTTACAGACATCTAGAAACCACCACAAAAAATACAAGAGGGAAAATTAAGGTTATTAAAGGTGAAGGCACCCCACTGACTCTTCCAAAAAGTGACCTGAGAAGTGGTGATCAAACAGTTTGGGTGAGGAAAACACCACAGCGCATGGTGGTAGGTTAGTGGCTTGGAGCATTTGTCTGACTGCTGTTGGGAAGTGTGTGCTGAGACAGCCGGGGCTCATCAGCCTGGAGAAAGTGGCTCAGTGGCCTTCACAGTGTGTGCAAACGGTTGATGGGAGCATAACATGGGTGGAGCCTAGTTCTTGGTGGTGCCTTGTGAGAAGACCTGAGTGGATGGACACAAAATGTGACCCAAGAAGTCTCCATTCAAACCCTGCACCTGGGTCAAGGCAATCACAGGTATGAGTACAGTCTGGGAGAAGAGCTCATTGAGTGGGTCTCCAAATTGGAAGTTCTCATGGATAAAAAGCTGGACATGAGCCAACAGCGTGCACTCACAGCCCAGAAGGTCAGCTGCGTCCTGAGCTGCATCAAAAGCAGTGTGGCCATCAGGGCAAGGCAGGTGACACTACCCTTCTACTCTGCTCTCATGATACCCCACCTGCATCCAGCTCTGGGGTCCCCAACATAAGGACATAGACACTTTAAAGTATGTTCAGAGGAGGCCACAAAGATTAGCTGAGTGAGGGCTGGAGCACCTCTCCTAGAAGAGAGACTGACAGATTCGAAATTGTTCAGCCCAGAGAAGAGGTCTCTAGGAAGACTTCACTACAGCCTCCTAGTACCTAAATAGGGCTTATAAAAGAGAGAGAGAGAAACTTTTTTCAAGGACATGCAATGATAGGACAAGGGGGGAATGGCTTTAAACTGAATGAGGTTCGGTTTAGATTAGCTATTAGGAAGAAATTCTTTATTGTGGGGGTGGTGAGACACTAGCACACGTTCTCCAGAGAAGCTGTGGATGTCCCATCCCTGGAAGTGTTCAGTGCCAGGCTGGACAGAGCTCTGGGCAACTTGGTCTAGTGGGAGGTGTCCCTGCCCACTGCAGGGGGTTGGAACTAGATGATCTTTAAGATCCCTTCCAACCCAACCTATTCTGTTATTCTGTGACCCCAGCGGACACCCCACGGCTCCCGGCACGGCCCAGATCCCCTGCGCCGAGCGGGGAGGGCTGCACGGTCCGAATTCCCGCCGTGAGGAGCGGCACAGCCCGCCCACAGCTCCCCCCGCCCCGCCATGGCCGGGCGGGGCCGGGCCGGGCCGCAGGGGCGCTGCCGAGCCGCGCCGGGCGGAGCGCAGCCCAGCATAGCCCAGCCCAGCCGCGGCGTGCCGGACCGGGTCGGGCCGGGCCGTGCTGAGCCGAGCCCGGCCACGCCGTGCCCGCCATGGCCATCGCGCACATCGCCACCGAGTACGTCTTCTCCGACTTCCTGCTGAA